CAAAATGGTAGAGTTCCTTTACATACATTTGTAAGAGACACTGTTCAGCTGCTTTTTGGAAAAATGAGATCAAAACTGCTTCCGGTTTTGCTTCATATCGGTCAAGTGGTTTGTACACTACACGGTACTTTAGGGATGCCTTGATGGTCAGAGTGACTGTTCGCATTGGCCAGCATTGACCACCCGAATCACCTTTTGGTGGCCACAGCAAATGACTCACACCGAACAAGCACAGGACGTGATCATGTGCGCATTTGACAGTGACACGTGCTTTCGTCATTTGTTCACCCTTGAGCCATCTGTATAGCATTGGTGTTTTTGGCGGCTAGCCAAGCGTTGTCAAAACGTTACATTGAAATGAATGAAGTCCTCAGCAGAACGGTACAAATATTGTGCCATTTTTAATGGACCGCAGTTCTTTCTTCGATAATGGGAAGAGAATTAATATAAATCTGGTTTAATACGCGAGTGATGTTTCCATGTATTTACAGTACCAATTGTCCAATGACTTCCTGGGTGCGATCACCAAACGGACATCCTGTTATGTCAATAGTCTGGAGTCATGCTCATTTGCATTACTTTGCATTACTTTGGTGTTCACGCAAAACTCAGCTAAATTCCCCGCTTCAACGCAAAGCTCCACAATGAAAAATGTTTTTCTGTTATAAAATCTGTCTGTCGCAGCCTTCCATTTACTCTCGAAAAAATAACCTGTTGACTCTGATTGTTCATCTCTCTAGTTTACATAAAATTCCTACCCTCGCGCCCCTCTAATCCCGCACACTGAACACTTTCTGCCAAAGCGCTAAGAGTGGGAGCGATGACTCTCACTTCGTTATCTCGAAAATTCCGTGCGAAATTTATGGCTGTTCCAATCAGTGTTTTAAGAAAATTTCCCTCTCTGATCGAAGAACTGTTCTAGTCTAAGTGTGCCAGGTCCTGGATTCTCGCCTGGTCGTTTTTAGAGCAGTGCAAATGTGGGAAATCTTCTGCCTGCTTCTTGAAAAAGTTGACTTCTTCCTTTGTGTTTTGTTCGTGTTGATCTGCTCTTTCCGCGTCACTGTGCCTCGGCGAAATTTCGACAAAGTTTAATCTCCTCCTTCTAAGGACACAGGAACAACTGTCGCCATTATCAGTCGGACGTATACATTGCACATTCCCTTCTCCAACAAACCAACTTTTGCCTCAACAGTCATCGGTGACTGTATGTCATCGATGCGTTGGCAAAAAGGCGGAACGATTGTATTGTTGGACCAAGTGTTTTTTTTTTGCTGGCAGTAGAACAGTCGATAACGGACACGTTTCAAGTGCCTGTCCCTCATATTTCCGAAATGTAACGCTTGGTGATCGTTCGGTAATGATGCAACTAATCAATATGGTGAAAAAAGTGGCCGGCTTCTAACAATAAGGCCAGTCCGTTTAACTACTTAGCCAGCTTTCAGAATGCGTCCAACTCGAACTTAACCGAACAGTCCTAGATTGTTAGGCTAACTTCACCACACAGTTCATCTCACCACAAAAAAACTGAATGAATATGATTGGCGGAATAGAACCCTTGATTGCTGGGTTACCGAAGACCGTTGTGGAATAATTGCTATGTAGCCCTATGGATCATGCAACTAGCTAATCAGTCAGTCATGTAATGAATGGTTACATTTGGTAGTTGGTTACTTTGTTGACTTTCGATCGAGGTATATCTCTCCGATCTACACTGATTCGTCAAAGTTGAGATGACATCCACGATGAAAACCCATTCGCACACTCATCTGGTTTCAACGAGAGACTCAGCTGAATCCAAGTCGAATCTCTTGTTTATGGTATCCTTTACATGAACTTGCTGGATAAAGTCTGCCTAATGTTTCAGTCCATACAGCATTCGAGATGACGCAGTATATTTTGTTGCCGCTGAAAACTTTGTCAGCCCACAATCATTTTTTTCTCTTCTTGAGGTTCATCAAATGTTGCAGTCCCCCAGCTTCCGTCAAGCTCATGTTCCACTTGAACGTAAATTGTACAAAATTCGCACACCAATTTGCTTTTAACAGGGATCCCAGTTGATTCTCGGATGAAACGTTTCCTCAAAGATTCTTGAATATCTTACGAACTAAAACATACGGCCACCTCTGTGCAGTACATTCATTTGAATGATACTACAAACAAGAGATTCAGCCGAGATTAAGCTGAGTTTCTCACTCAACGGATTTCATCAACCTTATGAGTAGTTTCCTCCAAGAGATTTGAGACAACTATCTTTTCGCGCCAAGACTACCTATAAAAGTTCTTGCCCCGGATACCTAAAATTAGTCCCGTATTCATGTCACACGAATTTCCACAGGCACCCCCCCGCCCCCCCCCCCCATGTTCGCCAACCGCAAGTCTAAAGAATAAGCTAAGGCTCAGAAAATCTAACGGTGGGGAATAATGTACACAAAATGTCGGAAAATCCTGTCGTGGCGATAGAACTCAAACGATATAACCTTGCCTCCAATTATAGCACCGTTTTTAGTGCAAACAAGAGTCAATCGGTTCCGTTTACACAAGAGGCATTTCGATGAAAAATTCCATCTAGGAAACATCGCTCAGTGGCTGATGACCATGTGATAATAAAGCCTGAAATTGTCCCATTATTCATTTGAGAGTCCTTAGCCAGGATTGAAAAGAGTTCAGAGCAGGGTACATTAACGGCTTTTTGGAAGTCCTCACTACATGTGATAATCAACAATGGATCATGAGGCTGAACTATGCACTTGGAACTGTGGTTGGCACTGTACCTTGTCTATCTGCAGCCTGACTTATTGGCGCTTGTGGTCGGGAAGAGTCTGTCTACAAGGTACCTAGTTCGAATCTTCCCTAAGGTGCGTGATATGCGTGGAGACGAACGCTATGTATGATTCTCAATTTTCCTGAGCTTTCGCTGGAAGCAAACCATAACTCAAAACCTATTCCTCCGACTTTAGCTGCTCACATAATGAGGTATTATATTATACCCTTGCTAGTAGTCATGACTAGTGTCGTTTGGAACTAGCCGGTTTTCGGCTGTTCTCATGAACTAATCGATCAAAAGGCTTCAGTACGGATAAACTGTTATCATCAAAGTGATACAGACAGAAAGCGCGCTGATTCCTCCGTGAAATGGTTCGGTTCCTTACGGTTTTCGGTTTAATCTCCTAGGTCTAGCACGTTCTTTAAAATAATCATCGGGTTTGAACCATAAAAACAGCTGAAAGGGTACCCACGATGTTGGAGTTTTCAAAACCTAGTTTGCTTACTTTTTAAACGTAAAAACTAGAAGCGTAGGCCTAACATTAGTATTGGTCCATCCCTCACTATAAACCATATTTCGCTGGAAAGCTTGCTGCTGGAAAGCTTCTTACGCATCGCTAGTTCTCACAGTTGACTGTTAGGCTGATAGTAATGCCTCACACAATTTTTCACTCCAAGTGAAATGTTTCATCTCAACAGAAGTGTCCAATTTCAGTTGATAGCTTAAACGCCTAAAGTACAATACATAAAATGCGGCTTTAACTGGACGTCAATTGTGAGATGTCCTGTTTATGGTACCATTTTCCAGAGTCAATTCTGGGCATAAAGCCTCCTTGTCAGCACATCTTACTGAAGTGCGGAGTGGATAAAACGTGTATTGCTCATTGTTTTACAATTGTTTTGTAGAAAGACTCCGTAATCTGTGGGCAATTCTCCCCATCTTCACACAGTCAATATCGTTTTGTGTACCGTTTGAATATGGCCACTGGTAAGAATTTAAAGGTAACTGATGGAATCCAATACTTCAGTCGTTTTACGTAACACATTCAGTGTACATTCCAAAAGCCAGCTATGTTGAACACGGCACAGGACACTCTCACATGAGTAACCACATAAACTTCTTTCAAGTCTAATGTATTTACTGGCACCTTATCTGTGGACCCTCCACTGAAATGGGATGCATATGAAACAGATGTAAAACGGATAAACTGATCGAGTAATCCTTTAGAAAGAAATTGAATCCCTCTTAAGTGCTGTGGTTTACGATTTTATGCAAGTTTTCACTTCAAGTTTATGTACAATAACCATGTACCATCGACCGAAGAACCGATGGGTTATGGACACCTTCGTTCTCATTGGTCTACAGCATCACTGTTCTACAGAGATACTGTCATTTGTGCATATTTCAGGATTAGCCTGTAGCAAAGAATTACACCCAGAATCCTCTAATGCTTTTGCCTCACCTTAAAGGGAGTTTTGCGTTGGACCTCTCGATGATTAATTCACCATGTGCCCACCCAAAATGATTAAACACCGATACCAGGGAACAGGGCCAAACGTTACCGAATGTCGCAAGTCAAGCAACTTTTTCACTAACCGGTACCGAATGGCGAAGGAAATAACATCATAACCATTCCGTAGACAACATGTAACTTCAAGACTTAGTTCATCCGGCTTCGTATATACGCACAATTCTCGATTCTTTGGAAGTGCTTTAAACATGAATTGTCGTGTCGGGAAACCAGGTTTTTTGTATATACTGCAACAGAGAAAAATGGAGTCCTAATGGAGATTCGTTTGCTAAAGTTGAACTTAACAGAAAATTTGTGTCTTTTACCAGGATGTCCACTTCCTCATCACTCTTTCTGATATATTCCACTAAAAGTCCATCTTACAGCTTACTTTAGCTATCATTCCACCGAGTGAGATGGCTGTCATCAGCACCAGTTTGCACTTTATAAACCTTACATTCTTACCATATTTCTTTCACGCGGCAATAATTTCGGCTAACTTTAGCCCACAGCAACTTTTAAAATAAACATGATAGTTTTGTGAAAAGAAGTCAAGGTTTTATCTCGATTTTTACGCCAATTAGTTCAACTTAACAATAAATTTGTATCGCCGAAAGGGGTCTGCATTTCAGCTGAAGCTTTCTTAGTCTCACATTGGCTTCAATATCTGCCTCCAAAATTTCCGCCTTTCAATCCCTTCTCCGTTGTCAACCCATTTTCCTACAGAGCGAATTCAACTTAAGCTCGGAATGCAACTCAAATGGAGGCCGAATTAACGGAGCCCTGGAAACTTGGCCCCTCTCACTACAAAGTGTAGTGAAGCCGCTCCATGCAGACTTGCATTCCCCACAATCCAGTCGAAACGGGTCCGACGATAGCAGTTTCCAATCGGATCTAAATAGGCATATCAAGGAATCATCATGGGCAGGGTATGTTAGGACAGTTGTACCTGTTCGGAAATCATAGCGTTTTGTCGCTAATGACATAACTGGCTGTTCTGTTTTCTCTTATTTTTCAGAACACATGTCTTGCCCCCCACAGCTAGTACAACGGTCAGATCTCCAAACCTTCCTAGTTCAAATCACTCAGTAGTTAGGCGTCTCTCACTGCGTGGTCTGAGGCCGTCCAGTCTTGAACCCTCCCCAGTAAGTATTTGGAAAATTTCATGCAAACAGTCTCTCTGGACTTCTCTTTTTGGTTTGCGTTGGTTTCGTTGTACATAGCGCCATATTAGGCAACCTGCTCCGGGTGGGAGTCACGCTAATTCCTGGCCTGGGTGCAACACCCAAAAGTTTCCAAATCAACCAGTGTAGCTGCTGAATACACTGGTTAGGATGAGCCCAGAAACTTCCACCTGATTCTATTGTCCAACCCTACCTAAGGATTATCTGTATGGCTACCCTACATCGATTCCTCACTCTTCCTGAAAATACGAAACATGGCATACATCTAATACGTTTTCCGGGACATATATACTTTTTCTGCTTAACCTTTGGTGTTCCATCACTGAAGCTACAGTAGGAAGGAATTCACAAAGGCTCACTTCAAGATGTTATGCCAGTGAGTACGCAGCACATATCATGCGGCAGTCAACAGAGGTGGAGAATTTTTGACTGTCCTGCTTGACTTTGCATTCTGTACCTCTGGAAGACTAAGTACATCTTTGTTTACAGGTTCAACCTACATACTAATTACGTCAGCCGAAACATCCATTCGCACATCAACTGGTCGTATTATTGAACCCCAAGTCCTATCACTGTTATCACCACAGTTCCAAGGAATCTGACAACGAACTTAAGCATTTGTCTCAAATTTCTTGCGGAAAGACCCATCAGTTGTCCCTCTTCCTTAGATGGTTACACAATCTTTTCCTTGTAAACTGATCACCTGATTTGAGGACCCTGCTTCTCTGTCACATCATACACGACAAACAAGAATCTAGGGATGTATTGCCAAAAACACTAAGAACATCTGCAATCGGTGAATTATTTTCTCCAGGTATTGTTTGAATGTGAGATTTCAAACATCGTTTCTCCTTTGGGAAGACAAAGAACAGTCAAGCCGTAAGTCAGGTTTAGCCCCCACGGCTGCTTTCGTCGATCCCGAAATAAAAATGGGGTACCTTATAGTGATTCGAAATATTGGAATGCGTGGTGCTGTGGTATAAGTGATTACCTCTCAGCATTCCAGGATTACCAAGGTTTACAGCTATCACTTACGGTTCTCAACATTTTCACGTGGAAATAAGATTTTAATGAATAATACGCTGGAACAGACTACAATTTCTTCTTCTTGTTTACCTTATAGGCGCTTTTAAATCAACGAATGTCACTCCTGCGATCTTCTCGCTCATCCAGTAGTGGTGTGTCATCTCCAGGAAGCTCCGGACACTCTGATGCACCACGCTGTCGTAGCGTACACTTTTCCACTGATGTCCTGGTTGCCCATACGGGGGCAGGCCCCGAGCCTTTACTACTTTCATCCGCTCCGCTGAAAGAACCAGCACCAGTAGATGTGTCGGTTTTGAAAAATAGTTTCCCTCCACGCTCGCAAGGTATTCAGAAGCGCGGAAGCACTGTACCACGGATACCACCCGGTCCATCCAGTATTGAACCCTCCATATCAAAGTTGGACACTTCCCAGTCAGTTTTATTTGGTAGGCCACCGGCTACGACAGTGACCCGTAAACCGGCTCTTTCCCGCAACTCGGTTGAACACAATCACTGATAAAGCACCCACACAAACCTGTGGTACTTCTTTCTGCTGTTATTTATCATTTTCTCCCGGCCCATTTTATACTCTTTCTGTCCGTCATGTGGTCAGTTCTACCTAAATGCACAATCAAAGACCAAAATGCTTGAGTGTGATACATTCTTAGCACCATCGTGTGCACTCATTCTAGCCCACATGGTGTTTTCGCATCACCTTTTCTGCACTATAAGCAATATATTATCTTGTATTTTGAACAAACATATTTTTTCTAACCACATGCGCCATGATTCCTGAGCTGCGATTTTCCTCCTCAAACTTCTTTGGAGAGCGCCCGATTGACATTGGTCACTCTCCGTTTGCTAAGTGCAACACTCAAATACAAGTGCTTCCATTTCTATCCACTTTATAAACTGTTTGCCATCAATCCTTCTTGAGAAGGGTGATGTTTTGGTTCCTCCAGCTTATCAGTTTCGTGAACTGCTGCCCCTGTTGACAGTTTGTACGATTAGATACCACATATGAATATCACATTCTATTCCATACCATCCCAATTAACGCTCGGTCGCACAGTTTCTTTTAGAGATTTTGTGTAGCACGCAACCATAGCTTCGTGTCACGCTGTACCTAATTATGAGTTCACTCATGAGGAAGAACATGCTGCATTTAAAAATTGGACCATTCGCCTTTTTCGTATGTTCTTGGGTGTATATATTTTGGAACGGGTTTTGGTTTGTCCCTCTAAGAAGTACAGTACAAGTACTTGAACCAGGAAGAACACTGGTTGCCAAGGTGAGCAAAATACGACACTGCATCCATGAAGACATAATTCTGGATACAGCAAACACGTGCAGATGTTGATCAACTGCCCTAAGAAGCTTCGACGCAGAAGCGAAACTGTTCAATACACCATTGGAGCCATGGCGATCGAACACACTATCGGTCACATTAACCCTAACTTGGATAGGATGGTTAATCTGAATGAGAGATGCTGATCAAGGCAAATTTGGTTTTGTATCTCCATTAAAGATGTTGTGCCTTTTGAAACATTTCCGTGGTCAACCTGTTTTAATCACGGGAACGTTTAGCAAATGAGATGCCAACTTAGCTTGCCAAGTATTCAAGACAGAGTCCCTCACGTAAGTAATATCGACCGTCAATGAGGATAAGGAAGTTGGATAGGTGGTGCAGTGACGAGGAATAGGCTGTGCCCACTAGTTTGAGTTCTGACGACCAGGAGGTGGTACCGCTGGTGAAACTGTGCATTCATGTAGTTATGTGTACACAAACTTGAGAAACTAGCGTTTCGTGGCCACGGCTAACGCTGTTCGTATTTCTGTTTGCCTTATTCAGTACATACGTGAGTTTTAGCTTCCCACTACACCAGTAGGATGAACACATTCCGTTTATTTTTAATTGGTGCAGTTATTATATCACAAAACACGCAAACATGCTCTTTCACCGTGATGTTTCGCTAGACAGACTTGATCAGGCTTTTCGTTGACCGAAATTTCACTCTGATTAGGCCCTTACGATCGCAACGCATAGCATTACAGGGGGAACTAATTCCTATAGGGGAAAATGTCGGTAGCTCAGGTAGCGTAGATGGTCATTGGCTTGTTCGCTGAGCTGCGCAATTTGATTGCAAACGTTTCATCATCAATCGAGGTGACATCATCAGTGCATTATTGGGAAGCGCAGTTGAGAGTATTGGTGGGTTAGTGGTTGTGCGTTGGGTAGTGTTACGTGTGTGTTAATATACGTGCCGATAGCCGGGGATGACCTTTGACCGCGATTGGTTGTTCGGTCGGGCGGTCTTAGTGGTTGTTCTGTTATCCCGTGTCCCCATTCGCCGATGCTCCTGTGACCTTTGAGCTTGGCATCTCTCGCCTTCGTAGTCTGGTCGGTGTTGGAGTGGCCTTTGTCCTTCCGAGTTCCGGCGCGTGACCTTTGTTGATTTGACTCCGAGGAGTTCCTTGTTTCTTTGTTCGTGAATCCAATATTCGAACTGGATCCAATTGACGCACTTCTACGTGCAAAAGACCAACATCTCAACCGGAACACTCAAGGAGGACCGAATATTGCATTCACAAACAAAGAAACAAGGAACTCCTCCGATTCAAATCAATAAAGGTCACAAACCGGAACTCGGAAGGCCAAAGGTCACTCCAACATCGACCAAATTACGAAGGCGAGGGATTTCAAACCCAAAGGTCACGGGAGCATCGGCGAATGATGACACGGGGTAACAGAACTAATTCCATTTAACTGACCAAATTTCCGGTGTGCTGATCACATTTATTCGTGCAAAAAACGTACTATGGCTTTCCTCGACGAACCACACTACTCATAAGGTTACTGAAAAACTACAACGCATGACCAGTCTCTTGTTCTTGAGATGAATCGGTCGCTGAGTTTCCATCAAACTTGCATTTCATGTGAGCAATAAAATGTACGAAGTTGAGGGAATACACTCACATGCATGGTCATTTAGTGCTAACAGGAGACTCGGTCCACCTCCGGCAGATTCGCTCATTTATGGTATTCTTCGATTGAATATGCTCAACAAAGGCAGCCTGACATTTAAGCTGGTTTGACATTTTAAGTTATTGCGATTATTGCGAACCCCCTTGTTCAAACTCCCTCTACAAAGTAATATCCGTGCTCCAGCTGATTCACCCGTCAGTGACATTAACTATTTCCTTTAATGTCTAGCAATCCACCCTTATTTCCCAAACCATTGGTTGGTTCATGTGTTCGATTTTTATTCCACAGGACCAGGCTCTTAATTGAGGTTGGACAACCCTCCAATATGAATTTTTCCCACTAGTGCTAACGTCTCCTGAAACTCAACGGTGACACCGGATCGACTGTCATATACACTGACTCTGGTACTGCTAAGTTAGCTTCTAGTAAGGGCGGGCAAGGACCCCGTTGATGTACTTTCTACATAGTAAACGGGACTTCTGCTCTAACCCTGGACTATCCGTGCCAACGCTTAGAAAAACATGTCCGACCTGGAATTCTAGCTAACCCTTAGTCACACCCGGAGATCACGAATCAGACGGTAATAATCGGATCAGACTGTGACAACTGCGCGTTCCATGTATGAAATATGTTGCCATCACAGCAGACGCTCCTGAATTGCCACATCTGAACAGAGATACACCTCGAGCGATGTGACCGGCTTACCTGATACCTCGGACGGCAGCCTAAAAAGTGTCCTAACTGTGTTGAACAGCTGGCTTACTCTTCAGAACTTCCCAGTCAGGTAGCGCCATGGACGCATGAAAAGTGCTGGACAATCTAGATTACTTATAGGTGGTTAAGCGTCGTCATTTGGGGCACCAGGTGAGCCGCTCACGTCTCTCAGACATGAACACTTTCGCCTGTCCAGTGCTTCCCTTCTTTGGTGAGGATTTACAAGGACCATTGTACCGGAACAGTAGAAGGGCCGTTCAGAATAACGTGGATACTAAATCTGGTGTCGGTTTTAATACCCAAAACGGCGCTTTAGACCTGCGTTTAGGCCCCAAAGACTAGTCCATCAAATCGCTTTACGCTGAACCATTATATCTGTAAGCAGCTTACCCACAAAATGAAGTGGCAGATTCCAGACATCAGGTGCTTTATAAACCGTCGTGTGATCCAGCGTATATAGTTTCCGTTTGCGGCACATCGTCTTCCACTATCCGGCTTGTAAACCTGATGCAGTGTGGAATCAGGCGAATGGCTTGTTTGATTGCTTTCCAACCAAAGAACAGGAATTCAAACCGATCTTCTGTTCTTCAAACCGTCTCGGTTTCAATACCGACCTATTTACTAAACATGCTGTTGGGAAAATGCACATACTGCCTATGATCTCTGTATTAATTCCATTTCGTGGGTGTCATCTCCATCATCAGATAAAGCAATAGCGGAGCTGATGCTGATACTTCACCGCAGTACAAACGCAAACTGCTTCTAATTATATATAAAGCACAGGAGAAGGGTAGGTGAGGGAGGAGACCTGGTGCTAGCGTATCGCAAGCAATCTGAGGTGTCCACACCGCCAAGCGCCCAATCAGACAATCTGAGAAGAAATTGATGCCACAAACGCTACTGATATCGACCAGTTGCCACTTCTTGCAATTTGTCCAGCCAAGCGCAGGACTAGTCACGGGGGGCGCGCTTCAGGAAGGTTTAATGCACTAACATCCAAACTCTTCGAAATCTCTTTCACACCCTCCCTCCGAATTAGACGTTGTCCGCTTCGGGACTTCCGCCATTCTGAGAGAAAAGAACAACGCTAGCCGCAAATTACAAAGCATGAATCTGTAGTTTCAAGGGGCCAGGCGCATGCTGAAAGATAATACGATGGGGGTCAGTATGTTCAGCAGGACCTGAGCCGCGCCTTCGTCTTAAAAGATGAAAGCAATATCGTCTGCGTACTTCAGATCGACAAGGTTCTCGTCATCAAATGTTTGAACACTTGGGATTTAAAGGTTTTTCAGCGTTCACCTCATTAATTCACCAGTGATGACGTTGAATATAAATAGAGAGTAGATATCCTTGTCGGATACCACCTTTTCTGGAGAAGCTTCCAGACAGCTCACTGTGCACTCCTGCACACCAAGGAGTGTATGGTTATAAGGAACGAATTGTGTTCACGAAATTCTGGGGCGCACCCTGTTGAGCAAGTGCGGCCTACAGCACCCACCGATCGACAGAATCGAACGCACCCATGAATTAAAGCAACATCAAGATTGTGAGTCGTCTGTGTGACTATAAGTTCTATATAAGAGTTTTAGCGTTCGTACCGTATGTCGAATTGGCAAACGGGCAATACTCGCTGAAGCTTTTTACTCCCTTAGGATTCACGTATGCTGTGTCTCCGAAAAGTGCCTACAAGACATTAACGTGGTTATGCATCTCAGAACGCCAAGGACGAACTCAGGTCTTTCACATTCCTCCCGCCGTGTATACGGTCATTCAGAAGTGATGGCTCCTGGAATATATGGTGCAAGTTGCGCTCATTGCAGAGCTGAACGCACTTTTCTGAACTAGATACTAGTGAACAGTCGTCTCTGCACCGTTCTGTTATCCAGCTCAGTCATGCTCAATGTCTCTCGGCGTAAAAAGGGGTGTCATTTTCTATTGTCTGCCTGTGCTTGTAGTTTTGACACCGGGAATGATCATTTCTATCGGGATTTATTTGAGCTAATTCGTCAAGCAGGGGGAACTGGCACTGTGATCATTGCGGGTGATGTAAATGCTCAATTTGGTCGTCTGAGCTCCTTGTAGTCTTATTTGGGATATCGATTCGGAGTCGACTCTCGTTACAGCGACAACGGAGAGCTTATCATCGACTATTTCTGGCCGGTACAAGCCTGTAGCATAAACGTCCGTGCCGCGCAAACAGGCCGCTACCAACTGCAGATCAACCGTCGACCCAATTGGCCACGTCGACATCAGCCGTCAATGGATGGACAGAATTTAAGAATGCCGCTCCTTCTGGTGCCCACGACAAAATTCCGGTCACGCCACGGTGCGTGCTCACCAAACAGTTCCCCTGCCTTCAAGCTCATGCACGTTGGCAAAAATCACGCCAATCCACCATCTTTTGAAAGCCTACAATGGCTCCACTGTATTGATCCGAATTCACCCAACAACTTTACGTAGCAAACCGATGCTGTA